ATATATATATATATATATATGTATGTATGTATGTATTTTTTTATGTATATCTCTGTGTGGTATATGCACATGTGGACCCATGTGTACAGAGGCCAGATACATTAGGTGTCCTGTTCTGTTGTTTTTTTACCTTATTTTCTTGTGATGTGGCTGAAGCTGACTCTAGGCTGGTGACCAGCAAGTTCCAGGGATCCTCCTGTCTCTGTCACTCATAGCACTAGAGTCACAGATATATGTGACCATACCTGGCTTTGTATGTAAGTGCCCAGGATTTGCACGCTGGTGTTCGTGGTTCCCAGCCCTTTCCATATATTTTTTTATTACAACATAATATTCTATTGCATGCATGTCAGAGCATATGCATGATTGAATGTTTAGATTACATTTGGATTTTCAGTATATATTCCAAATGTGTACACACACACATATATATATATATATATATATATATATATATATGTATGTATATATATATATTGAAATAAACTTTTATGCTCAGCTACTTCCTGGGGCAAGGTCTGTAGTATGTTTCATAGAGTGTTTATGTTTTACAGTTTGATAAGCATTACCAAGTTTCTCTAGAAAGTACCCATTTTCACTCCCCCCTATTATTAATGAGAGTGTAATGTTTCAGGACACATGTTAATATGAGCTCTTAAAAATCTTTTTGTTCTTTGTACAGTTGAACAGAAAAAATAACCTACTTCATTGTTGTTCTGAACGTCTGTTAGAAGGCAAATACACCTTCAAGCGATGCTTAGCTGCTCTTAAGAGATTTTAAAAATACTGTCATGTTCTGAAAAGCAGTGTTTTTATAAGTAGATAGTGTCCCAAGGTGACAGTTTTGAAAGGCACATTGGTTAGAAGCTCCCATGTCTGTGTTAATGGAGTGTTATCCCTCTTTTTAACCACACACCTGACATGCTTGAAGGACTTATCTCGAAAGCAGGATTGGAAGTTGAGCAGCTGCTTGTATTGAGTATCCTGCTTGGTGTAGCATTCTTGTTGCCAGAGACATGTGGTGCTAAGACCCCTGTCCTTATGGAACTACAGGAACACCTCATTGTAGCCCAGAAATGACACCCCAATAGCTGTGTTTCCCAGGGAAGTCCTGTGGAAGTTTCCTCTCAGAGCTGGTGTGGATCAAATCACACCAATTCATCAGTACACGGAGTCCTACTGTTTAACAAAGAGACTGCCTGCTGATGCTGGATTGTGTTGAGGCCTTTCTAACAAAGGATGAAGTTGAGCTGGGGTGCCTCCTCAGAGGTGCTTAACCCATTCCTCTGTTTGTAAGCTGTGCTGGAGCAGATTCACTTTACTAGCAAAGTTCTGTGTTATTTTGGTTTAGGGTTTTTTTTTTTTGGGGGGGGGGGCCCTTCAGGGTCTCTATTTTCTGTTCTTTGCTATTTGGTTTTTGGTTTCCAGAACACTCAGTACATTTGGTTTTGCAGGGAGAGCTAGATGATATGAAGGTGAAAGGGACAACCCTTTTGCCAGCAGCTAGCTGCCTGCCTTTCACGGAGGGAAAATAGTGATTGTCTCAGGAGGCTTGCGGGTGGTCAGCTGCGACTGATAGATCAGCTTCTTTACAAGACATAAAGGAAAGAGAGTAAATATTAGTGTATCTTGATTAAATATCTTGATTAGCAATGTGCTTCAGTCACATTTTAATATTAGTATTTTTAAGATCCACTAGATAATGGCAGGCAAAATTTTGATACATTTTATAAATCAATTAGTTGTCATGATTTATGTCATTAAATTTTCTCCTATGTTCCTTTTCTAGAAGAAAAATGACAAGTCTTTCATCTTTTCTCTGTTTTTTTTTTTTTCCCCTTGTCTTTCTACTGGGGACCAAACCCAGGCCTTGTATATGCTAGGCAAGTACCCTTTTATATCTCCAGCCCCAAAGATATGTGTTTGTGTTCGAGTGAGGGTGTATGAATGTATGTGTGTGGATGTGGTGTATATGTATTCAGGTGTACGTACTTATGTATATGAGGCCAGGTGAGGACAGTGTGTGTTGTGCTGAATAGCTGTCTGCCTTGGGTCTCTGTATCTGGAACTAGGCTAGCAGCTAGCAAGCCCCGGTGATGCTCTCTTGTTGTTGCTTACCTTAGTTTTGGGGTTACAGGCCAATGCTTCTTCTATGCTCTGGTTTTTATTTTTGAGATTTATTTGATTTTATGTACATGAGTGTTTTGCCTGTATGTATATATGTGTATGTATATATCAACCATCATGGGTATGGTTGGTGTCTGTAGAGGTCAGGTGTCAGATCCCCTTACACTGTAGTTACAGATGTTTGTGAACCAACATGTGGGTACTGGGAAACAAACCCAGGTCCTCTGGAAACGCAGCCAGTGCTCTTAATTGCTGAGCCATCTCTACAACCCCCCACCTGTCTTTTTAAGTCGATTCTAGGGATTTAAAACTAGTTTGGTCTTGCTGGGGTGGTGGTGCTGCACAGCTTTAATCCCATCAATTAGGAGGCAGAGGCAGGTAGATCTCCAAGTTCCAGGACAGCTGGGGCTAAGAAAAACCCTGTCTTGAAAAACAAAACAAAACAACAAACAGCAACAAAAAATATTAGTTTGGTCTGTAGGGTCTATTTCCTAGCCACAGTATGTATTATTCTCTGTTGACTATTTCCAGCCAGCTGAGAAAGCTTGATCTAGTCCATGTGATAAACATCATTATAAGTAGTTTTAACAGGATTAAGGAATCAGTTCTTAGAATTAATCTTGTGGCAAGGCAGTTTTGATTAATACATTTTATTTTTAAAATATAATATTATCTTAAGAGAAAGAAAAAAATGTTTATTGAGCAAAATTACTTTGGTGATAAACTTTTATAAAGTCCTGACAGCTCAAAGAGCTTCTTGTCCATTTAAATGTATAGCCATGAGACTGTAAACTGGTAAGTGCAGGTGAGTACTGTAGCATATTGATTGATTACACCTTGTCCTGTACCTTCACCCCAGACCTCACAGCAGGTGCATGGAGTAGAAGAAGAAGGAGGGAAAACGTGTATTCTAATATGCTTCCTTGCTTTGAGTAGCCTCACTAAGTGTTGCTATGATTTACTTGCAAGAGATCCATAGACTGGTGCTTATGAGGACTTCCTTTTAGTTTAGATTTAATCCATTTAAGCTCCTGGGTACAGGGATAATAATGTTGGTTTTCAGGGTAGACTTTTACCACATTGAGTTTGTTTGAAAAATGATTTAGCCATTTCTTTGCATGTTTCTTAAATATTGCTGTGTGCATCATGTTTCTAGGTAGGTGAGCCTGTGAAACAGAATGAAGAGGAGAAAATAGCCTTTTAAAGAACCTGGCCCACAGAAAGGATGGCCTTCTTGGACAATCCAACTATCATTCTAGCTCATATTCGACAGTCACACGTGACCAGTGATGACACAGGAATGTGTGAGATGGTTCTCATTGATCATGATGTTGACCTAGAGAAGACTCATCCTCCTTCTGTGCCTGGAGACAGTGGGTCAGAAGTTCAGGGGAGCAGTGGTGAGACTCAGGGCTACGTGTATGCCCAGTCTGTCGATATTACCTCAAGCTGGGACTTTGGTATTAGAAGACGCTCAAACACAGGTAAACTCTGTTTTTAGTTGTCTTCTTAGCTTCAGATCAGTAGTTAGCCAGGAGATAACGGGCAGTGTTGGAACAGGTCCCTCAGGGAGTCTCTGCCTAGTCAGAGACTGTGACTGAGCATCTCTGGTGTGAGTAGAAGAGCTTCTGGTGTGGGGCTATTTGAAGGAAGTAGACAGGAGAGCCTTATGTAGGTAGATGTTACCTTTAGAAAAGGAAGTGGCCCTGTTTTGAGACCTTAGAGCCACCCAGGAAATTTCCTTGAAGGAGATTCTAGGGTGACAACACTTTATATGGACACAGGCTAGCCTAGGAGTGCAGGCCACCCAAGTCCCAGCTCCTGGAGGAGCAGTGGGATGTGGGCTTTAATAGGATTCATACATGGAGTAAAGAAGGCACCAAAATGCCCCTATCTTGATGCTTTCCCCTTATTTTGTTTTTTGGTTTTTTGGTTTTTTGGTTTTTTGTTTTTTTTGGTTTCTTTTGAGACAGGGTTTCTCAGTGGCTTTTGAGGCTGTTTTTTTTGTTTTTTTGGTTTCTTTTGAGACAGGGTTTCTCAGTGGCTTTTGAGGCTGTCATGGAACTCCCCCTGTAGCCCAGGCTGGTCTTGAACTCACGGAGATCCCCCTGCCTCTGCCTCCCGAGTGCTGTGATTAAAGGCGTGCGCCACCAACGCCCAGCTTCCCCTTATTTTCTTAAGTTGATCACTAGCCTTTGATTTCAATGGTTTGTAAATGCTCAAATTTGTCATATATATTTAGTTCTTCTAGAGGCTTATGGTTGTCCATTGTCCAGTTGCTAGAGCTTTGGTAATCTTTCCAGGAGAATGCAGTGTGCCAGGGCTTTTATTGATGAGGAGGAGGAAGAGGAGCGCGAACACATACATAAATACATATATATACATGCATACATACGAGAGATGGTATTTTAGGGATCATTTTTTTTTTAAGACCATCATAAAATAGAATCAGAATCAGTAGCAGTAACCTGTTAATCCCAGAGAAAGGGAGTGGCAAGAGGTGAACAACATTGAAAAATGTTTATTTTCATAGTTCAAATGTAAAATGTTAACATGGGAGTCTGCTGGCAGAGCTGGGTACACCTCATAGTGAAAGGCAATTTGAATGCAGTGTCTTTGACATCAAAAAGAATAGTTTGCCCTTAAGATGAAGATAACTAATGTCACTTCCCAGTATCTAGATAGACTTTTATAAAAATAGGATTTGTGTGAAGTTTATATGTAATATAGAGCCATTGGTGCTCAGTGCTCTAGTTGTAACATCCTTGTAAGTCACTGTGATGGTATCTTCTGTGACAGGCTGGGTAGATTTTACCAGGAAGATGCTGCCCATTGAGAACATTAGGATGCTATTACTGTGACTGCACCCTCCATAGTTACTAATTACAGTGGAATTTATTTTTCCTCAGTGTATTTGATTAGGTATAGTGGCATTGTCAGAATTCTTTTGCAAGCCAGGGCACTGGAAGCACATGCCTTTAATCCTAGCACTTGGGAGACAGAGGCAGGTGGATCTCTGAGCTTGTGGCCAACCTGGTCTACAAAGATAGGCCCAGGACAGATAGGGCGACACAGAGAAAACTTATCTTGAAAAAACAAAGAAAAAGAGAATGCTTTTGCCAGCATGGTTTTTAAATTTCTGGCAAGATTATTTCCAATGTCCCTTTCCCATAATGTTAAGGAAGGAATGTATAATTCCCACCTTGAAAGTGCTTGTAAATAAAATTTATTTTCCTAATGTCAATGTGTGTGCCTGAATAGGATGTGGAAGAGTAGCAAGAGAAAACAAGCTTTAAGAGAGGCCTGAGTTCTGACTTTGCTCAGTTGTGGCTGTGAGCAGCAGTTGCTAATGGATACTGGTCATCTTTCTTTGAAGGACCAGGCTACTGATTTTTGAAGGTTGGAGGTTGATCAGCCAGTGGCAGTATAATCACAAATGTGTACTTTTAGGTGACTCTTGGTGCTGACATTTCTTTATTTAGTTTACTGAGGTGTTAGCACTTAATTGAAATTATAAGCTGTATTGTTGATCAAGGAATTTAGTTTTTAATCTTTAAAGTACATCTTAAAGTTTTGTAAAGAAAAATTGTTCTTTTTAAGATTTGACTAATGTTACAAAGATACAAATCATTTATTTTACTACCTATAAACTCTTTCAGCTCACTGAAGAAAAGCTATGCTAATTTATATAGCTTTGACATTTTATAATTTTCATGATTTTTAGATAAAGGATTTTATATTTAAAACTTTAATAGTCTAGTCTGAGTTCATTTATCTTTAATTTTTGAAACGGGTAGAGTAATTCATAACAGTAATTTTATTCCTGTAATGTAATATTCACTTCAGTTCATTTGTGCATTAAAATTCCTTTAAGACCGTTATTAATGATTTATATAATGAAATGTCATATTAATCACAGAAGTTTTCACATTTTATTATTCTCTTCCATGTTAATACTATCTTTATGATCTCTATTAATGTTTTATATCCTCTAATTTCAATTATAAATCAAGAATATTTTCATGTTTTTGTTGGTATTTGCTTTTCAGGGGTGCCACCTTTAAAATTTTATGACTTTCTCCCTCCATATGAAATATAAAACATCTTTATTCATATAAAGGTAGTTAATTATGTCTTTGTTTATAGTAAACTTTCATTGACAAACTTATAGTTATAATATTTCTTTTCAAGCTCAAAGATTAGAACGACTCCGCAAAGAGAGACAAAACCAGATCAAATGCAAAAATATTCAGTGGAAAGAAAGAAATTCTAAGCAATCAGGTAAATGGAAATAACTTTCATTTATGATTTGGGATTTGTATACTTAGTTTATATCATTATATATGGACTTTTATTTTTAATCTGTCCTTCTGAGTCCTTGGGGTGATATCATTTATGTTTGAGCTTTGAGCTCCATCACTTGTGTGCACTGGTCCTGTTAGTTTGAGCTCCCTTTCACACTGGTTTACAGGGGTTAATTCGGGAAGAGGGCATTTTCTAAAACTACTACTCTGGTACCTTCTTCTTGGGACCAAGGATAGTATATACTTATTCACATGAGTGTTTAAATTATAGATTCATCTATACAGTTCTATTTCTTTATTTATTTATTCTTTTATTTATTGTTTATGTGTACACACCCACACACACATATCACCCTGCATGTATGGAATCAGAGGTCAACTTGCAGAAATCAGTTTTCTCTTATCGTGTAGGTTTGAGGATTGAACACAGGTTCTTCAGGATGGCAGCCAGAACTTGTACCTGCTGAACTATCTTGCCAGTCTCATTTATATAGTCCTAATCTAAACTTTCCCTTGCTTCAGTGACCATAACCTTTTTTTTTTTTTTTTTTTTTTTTTTTTTTTTTTTTTTTTATTTTTATATATGTGCCAACTCTTTCAGCTTAAAATCCATTCTGTTGCTGGTATTGTTAGCATTGAGGTCTTGTGTTCATACACTGTATGCATATATAGCCTGGCCATGTTACATATTTTCAACTCGAAGAAAAAATTTAAATTCTTGGGCTGGAGAGATGGCTCAGAGGCTAAGAGCACCGACTGCTCTTCCAGAGGTCGTGGTTCAATTCCCAGCAACCACATGGTGGCTCACAACCATCCCTTATGAGATCTGGTGCCCTCTTCTGGTGTGCAGATATACATGGAAGCAGAATGTTGTATACATAATAAAAATAAATAAATCTTTAAAAAAAAATTCTTGATTACTGTGGAAATGGCTCAGTCAAGAAAGTGCAGTGGCAGGCCTGAAATTCCAGTGCTGAGGACGCAGTGGTAAGAGGATCCCTTGGGCTTCTGCCCATCTGGTCTAGCCAGTCAATGAGTTCCACATCTAGTAAGTGACCCATTCTCAGCAAAATGAGGTGGAAAAATGATAGAGGAAGACACTGGACACAATATGGACTCCGCTTGAGCTTGCACACACATAGTCTTGAAAGCAAAGTAGTCTTAAAATAGTTTATAATGATTAGATCATTTTCTAAGACGTTCTCTTTGTTTCTTCCCTTAAAAGAAATATCCTCTTTGTTCTCCTAATACCTCCTTGGCAAGTGATAGATGCCTCATAAATCTTTGTTGACTGTCTCCAATCTGCCCAATAATTCTAAGGCTTGCAGTATTAATGGTTGCTACTTGACCAGCAGAGTTTCCTGGTGTTGTACTTGGCACTTCATATTCTTCATCTTATGCAAAAGTGGAGGTGGTGTTGCAGGTGAGACAGGCTGGGAGAGTTTATTAATTTACCACAGTCACACAACGAGAAGGCAGGAAGAAGCATGGTTGTGCCACATTTCACATCCAGCAATGTCTTCCTTGCTTCTTGTTTTATTCTGCAGTGTTTTTTCACTAGGTCCAATTTTCTTAGTGCCTTCCTCTAAATGATGCCTATGCAGAACCAGAAGTCCCATTGTCATGTTGAGCACAGCAGGCCACACCTGTCATCTCAGCACTCAGGAGGCTGAGGTAGAAGAATCTCAAGTTTACAGCCAGCCTGTGCTACCATTTCTTTTTCATACATCTCACTGATTTCCTTCCTTCCTTCCTTCCTTCCTTCCTTCCTTCCTTCCTTCCTTCCTTCCTTCCTTCCTTCTTTTTTCAAGACAGGGTTTCTCTGTGTAGCTTTGGAGCATATCCTGGCACTCACTGTGGCCTCAAACTCACAGAGATCCGCCTGCTTCTGCCTCCTGAGTGCTGGGATTAAAGGCGTGTGCCACCAACGCCCAGCTTACTGATTGAATTCTTATATTTTTCAGTTGTTTCTTTTCATGTTCATGTTTGTGTGTGTGTGTGTGTGTGTCTGTCTATGTATGTATGAGTGAGAGAATGATGTTGGGTACCTTCTTCAGTCACTCTCCATATTATATTTGGAAGCAGGTCTCTTGTCAAATCCAGAGCTTGTTGTTTTGTCTCCTGTCTACTTACGACATGACAGGCTGGGCTTAGAAGCTTTTGTATGTATTCTAGGAATCTAAATTTTGGTCCTTGGCATCTTCTTGGTAAGCATTTTATCTGCTGAGCTATCTCCCCATCCCTAGCTTTGCTTCTGATACTTTAAAGATCTGACTAGGCTGCCTCTGTTAAACATCTTTCCTTTATCCTTCACCTTGCTTGTTTTGAAATTCCTGTGTATTTCAGTGCAGTTGTTATGAATCTCCTCTAATGAAGACAAGAGATAGTTTAAGCTCTGTTTCTTTTGCTACCCTTTATTTGCTTTCTTCACTTTCAAATCTTAAATGTATAAGTGGAAGCTATAGCATGAGTCGAACACCACTGCTTTCTATGCGGCAAGCAGTCCATTTCCAACTAGAGAATGGTCTTCACCTGGAGTGCTCTTCTCCAGCTCATCCCACCAGCTTTAACTCTGTTGAGAATTTCACAGTGTGCTGGAGAAATGGATCACCCCCTCCAGCTTTCATTTGCAGACTCTCTTCTCATTGTGTATTTACACTTCCCTCCCTAAATTTCCTTCTTCTCTTTTCTGTCTCACACATTTCAGGAACTGACTCTGTGACCATATTTCTGCAATAGCTCATTAATGCTTGTTTATACTTTGAGAAGTTCACCTGCAGGACACCTTGCCCCATGGCTGTTCTAAGCAGTTATCGTGAACCTGCTGCATCAATGTACAGAATAATGTCTTTGAAGTTTTCTGTAGGTGGGCTCTGTCATCACAGCTTAGTACTCTTATCTTTAAACTTGCTAGAAAAGTGGAGTCAGGAGTTCACTAAGCATCTGCCTGGAAAACTGAGTAGCACTGTTTTACTTTAAAATTATGTCTGTGTGTATATATACCTATGCGCAGTGGACCAAAGGAATCGAAACACCTGGAACTGGAGTTAAAGGTGATTGTGAGCTGCCTGACTGGCACACTGGGAATCAAATTCAGGTCCTCTCAGCATGTGCCCCTAACTGCTGAGCCATCTCTCCAGCCCCAGCCCTTTGTTTTCACACATCTTTCAAACACATGCTCGCTCCTGGGAACAAATGTTATATTTAAATCCTTTTGATCATCCTTGGGAATTTGGGGTCAGCACCATTTATCCATTCTTTATCTGCTACTTATATTTTGTCAAAACTCTTTCATCTCTTATTTTGTTCCTCAGTAGGAGAATCAGCATAACTTTCATGAGCTTTCCTGGAATGTTCTTCTTCCTACTGATTCCATGAAAGCCAACCTTTTCTTCCCTGACTCCCTCTCCTCCTCCTCCTCCTCCTTTTCTCCTCCCCATCCTTTGATGGGCATGCGCGTGCGTGTGCGTGTGCGTGTGTACATGTGCCATGGTGTTTATATGAGCAGAGGACTATTTGAAGGAGTTGTTTCTCTTTACCATGTAGGATAAAACTCAGGTCAGCAGTCTTGTCAGCCTTACCCACTGAGTCATGTGGTTGGCCCCAGTGTGGCCTTCTCATAGAGGAATTAAAGGTCTCTTGGATGGACTTTGTGACAAATCCACACATGTTGTAAGGGAATGCTTAGAATAAGACCCTCAGCGGGCAGTGGTGGTGCACACCTTTAATAGCAGTACTCGGGAGGCAGAAGTAGGCAAATCTTAGTGAGTTCGAGGATAGCCAGGGCTTCACAGTGAGACCTGTGTAGAAAACAAACAAACAAAAAGACCTTCTAAGTATCCTATGGAGTTATGTCACATCAAGGTCAGAGAGGTCTGAAAAATTATAAACTACCAATCTCACATACAGGGGGAAACCATCATTTAGATTTTCATGTATTTATTGTAAATTTCATTTATGACATGGGTAAATATATTTTAGGTTGATCACATGATCATTTGTATGCATAAATAGTTCATAAGCATATCATTTTGTTATGTCTATAGATGTTCCAACATGTCTTATTAAGGCTATTTCTAGATGTATGTATTTGCATTGTAAATAGCAAGTTCCTCATAACTTTTTATTTATACTTGTTTATAAATATTTTAAATTATATAAAAGAGCCTTTTAATTTTCATTATAAATAACTTGCTTTTAAAAATATAATTAATAAATGAAGAAACTCAGTTTTCTTTGTAATATATATTACATATAAACTTTTTAATATCAAGTATCTAATCTGTTGTCACATTTCTCTGATTACCTCAAATTTTTTTGTTTGATTTTACTTTCTTTAGATTTGAATCTAAGGTTCATATATTATTTTTATTAACATTTGATTTACTATTTTTGTGTGTGATTCATGCATGTGTGTATGTGTATGTGTGTGTGCCATGGAGCATGCGAGGGTCATAGCACAACTTTATGGAATTGGTTCTCTCCTTCTACCTTTATGTGAGTTTTGGTTCCAGGGGTTGAACACAGGTTGCTAAGCACCTTTGCTCACTGAGCTGTCTCGTTAATCCTCACATACTACTTTCAGTTAAAATGCCTCATTTCTTTTTAATGTATGGGTTCTCTTTAATTTTTACTGATAATTTATTTGTTGAAGAATAATTGTATCCCAGTTGTCTTAATATGTGTGTGTTCCTGAGCCAGGCATGGTGACGCCTGCGTTTATCCCAGCACTCTAGAGGCAGAGGTAGGCGGATCTCTGAGTTTGAGGCCAGCCTGATCTATAGCTTGAATTCCAGGACAGCAAGAGCTACATAGAATACCCCTGTCTCAAAAAAACAAAAAACAAAAAACAATAAGTGTCTCTGGCTGTTTTCTATAAACTGACAGTTACAGCCAAAAATTCGATCAGGTTAGGGTTTAACTTTTAGTAAGAGTGGTTTCTTTGTGATGATTTTTATGTTATAACATATCAGGAAA